ACTAAATATCCTGTCATTCACCCCTGGGAGTGGCCTTGAAATAAAGTGCTATCCATAAAGGAAGAACAACAAAACTGCTTCTGCACATCTGGACAGAACAGACTGAAAAGATTATTTCTCCTACATGTGTGTGCACACAGTAGAAGACCATTGTGTTCTCGTTCAAATATATTGGTATTCTGAGATGTTAAATAATCACTATTGACTCTCTATGATACTGTTTCAAGTATACTGAAATATTTGGCCACATTTTATATGTTGAGATCTCTCTTGCAATGTCTAATTCCATACCTTACAGATGGGGACCACATTGTGATTCATAGTACCTTGAACCTCTGCAAGGACCTATGAACTAGTCAGAAACATAAAGGAATATGCATGTCCATTCACATGACAAAAGATAGAAATTATTTGTGACAATTTATCATTACCCAGGCGTATAAGACATTTCAATATCAACTTCAATTGACGGACCATGACTATAACCTATAGAGTATTTTAGGTTTCTATAGAAATGGAAACTTTCCTGCATGAAGGCCAAAGAACCCATTTTTACAAAATATCTTCCCCAGCCTTGAAGTTCTACTCAGGGCCTGGGTACTGTCCCTGAGATTTTGTAATAAAGGAACAAATGTGATGACAGTCTATCAACATGATTCACAGCACTACTTGTGGGAAATTTGGTGAAAATTGGTGATAACAGTCCCACAGCATTACCTAGCTAGTTGGTCTTTCAATTGTGATTTTAAACCTCATACTCTTTAGCAACTAAGAATTCTGATATGAAGCACCAGTGCCCTGTTAGATCAGGAGATCTTAACTACTTGATCTAAGGACTCATGGTTTCCACAGAATAGGATATAAAATTAATAACATCATATAGACATAGGCAAAGGTCCTTTTGCAATCTCAGTAAAGGTCTGTTTACCTATCATTCTGTAAACCACATCCAAATTCTTCAACTAAATATTTGGAAGAATGCATTGTTTGCACAGATCATATTAATGGCCGTCAGGTTGAATTCAGGGGCAAAATTTGTGAGGCTTCCTTTACCTTCTATATCAGATGCCCTTTTGTATCACTGATTTTTCACCTTAGGGTCTTGCTTCTTTGTCTGGGCCTTTCAACACACTAATTTTATAATTACATATCACAAGTAGCAAACAAGATAGGCACATATGACCAGATCCATGCTTTTATTGGCTAAGATACCATTTTCATGAAGCTTTTATGTGGGATGGCCTACAAATACTATCCTTCCAATATCAGCTTCCTGAGTAGCTAAGATTCCACACATGAGGAGGTGTAATTGCTCATTTTTAATCACTGGTTTTAAATTAAAAGAAGGAAAGGGTAGTTTACCAATTCAGTGAGCAGTAAGTCCCTTAAATTTTGAGCTCAAGGAAAAGTGTTGGCCAAATGATAATAACAAAAATAATAAAATAAAAAATAAAATGCTATGATGAGGGCTACTTTGAATGAATGTGGTATGTTGGTTTATGTCTTTCAATTACAGCTACATGACAGGCCTAGGTAGAAGGGACTCCCGTCTATGAACCATCCTTTATCAGAAAGCATCCAGTTTGTAAAAATGGGAGAAAGAGCTATATCCAAATGGTTGGTGTTTGTGTATGTGTGTGTGTGTATGTGGTACAAATAGGAAGGCCAAGGATCTCCTAATCCCCCTATTATTTTCTTTACTAGGCCTCAGTAGATAAAAAGGGTGAACAGTGTGAGGGAAGACATTAAGCTAGCAACCTAGCTAAATGTGAAATCCACTGTCCTTATCCTGTAAATGGAACCCTAGCTAGGATTTAAGGATTCTCTTTGAACAAGTAAAATAAATACTGAAATTGTTGAAGGCACAGGAAGCCTGAAGTGAAGCACTGAATGAAACCTCTTATTCCCAGAGAGAGATTTCTTCATAACAGCCCACAGGGCTCATGTTTGATTCCTAGCTTTTATGGAATCCAAGATGAGAGAATCTCCCTTGAAGCCAGCTCTGGCTGGCTTCAACTCAGTGCCTGAGTTGAAGACCTCATATTGGCAAAAAAACAAAAAACAAAAAAAACATTTCTTCATGAAAGTGTGAAAGTAGAGCTCTTCATGTAACCACACAGCTCTGGACATATCTGGAATAACTGGCTTATATAGGATCTGGAGTATTGGTCTTGGTTTACTAATTACGCACTGTCTGAAGTGAACAGACATTTTTTTCTAAATGCCTCCAGGATGTCTTTTATTAAATAACCATACAGTGGCATCTATCTTGGCCCTAGAAATTCTAAATTTAGAATTTCTTTAAAAGAAGACAGTGTATTTGTTGGAAGCCACATTTTGGAAGATGGAATACTGCAGTGTTTATTACACAGCTAGCAATTCTGCAAGCAGCCTGTTGTAACAATGACTAGCAGTCGACAAATACACTTAGGCAGCTTGGAAACAGGACAGAAAGGAAAAGAAAAAGAATAAAATAAACACTATGAAACCAATCAGCACCAAAAGAGTGCTGAATTGGGACACTATGATGACCAGAGAGAAGCCAGGAGACAGGACACAGGACATGATCACAGAGACATGTACCAAGGCATCTAGTGCCACTGCTGATCCTGCCTAAATAGGGCCTAAGCAGGAGGCAGGTCCACAGGATATTCCAGTCCCAGGCACTGGACTAACAGATTGAGTAACATATCAACCAAATTCTCACCCCTGCTTCCAGGGAACCAGCCACACCCATCAGTTGGCAAGTGATGGATGGGGGCATTTCCTTCCCCCTGCATGAAGACAAGATGCCAGACCCCACCATCCACCATGTGGCCAATAGGGCACCAGCCACACCTGACCTCCTTACTTAATATTACTGAATTATTAAGTCAATTTATAAAATGTTACAGCCTCCTTATCATATTATAAACAGTAGAAGGATTTCCTGTTTGTAAAAGCCATTTTTCTTGAGTCCCACGTCTGAAACAATAATTTTCACATTCACTAAAATTTAAACATTCTTTTTTTTTGGTCCAGTCATGGGGCCTGAACTCTGGGCCTAAGCGCTGTCCCTCCGCTCTTCAGCTCAAGGCTAGAGCCCTACCATTTGAACCACAGTGCCACTTCCGGCTTTTTTTTTTTTTTTTGCTTATGTGGTGCTGAGGAATGCAGCCCAGGGCCTCAGGCATGCAAGGCAAGCGCTCTACCACTGAGCCAACTTCTCAGCCCCTAAACATTCTTCTTTTGAATAGTTCATTTCTTCCTTCTTCCTCATTCTTTCCCTTCCTCTTTCCCTCTCTCACATCACTCCTTCCTGCCTTCCTGCCTGCCTTCTTTCCATCGTTCCTTCCTTCCTTCCTCTCAGGGCCTAGAAGTGATGCTGTAGCTCAAGTGGCAGATGGTCTTATTTTTTTGTTAACTTCAAATTTTGTGAGAGATTGGTCAATATCTTTGTGTGCTCGATTATTTCCCCTGTTGTCCTATCCACTTTGGCCCTCTATGAGATAACACAGGTGCGACACATCATCCACACTGGTGTTTTGTAATAGCTCGCTCAGCAGAACAACTAAATGGGCTAAGAGTGAATCAATCACAAGTTGCTCATCACCAGTGATTAATTAAAGAAAAGAGCAAGCACTGAAGACACTTTGGGCTTCTCCCCAAGGCAAAATGCACAGATTCTAGTCTTTATTATTCTATCATATTTTTAAATATACATTTTTATTGTAAAGATACTGTACAGATTGGTTATATCATTATATGAGTTAGGTCATGAATACATTTCCTATTGAGCATTGTTACCCCTCCGATAAAGACTTTACTACTATGGATGTACTCCAATAAGGACTAAAATCTTCCATTAGATCTTCCATTCAAAAACTGAACTGGAATAAGTAAGTCATTTGTACTATAAGGCCTGGATCACACATACAGAGGGAGACTTAAGGGAGCGGTAGAAAAATGGTTGTTCTCATGTTCTTGCCTCCTATCATAACAGTCTTTACTCATCTATCATTCCCATAAGCATGTTGGAGATGATCTGAATCCAGTCCCAAAGGGCTAGAACTCATATTACTAAGAAGAGTTTATCAAATTACCCAGACACACCATTCCTTAGTATAAAAGACACAAGTTTATAATTTCAATCTCTGAATTACTTTTCGAGACTGGTTGTTTCTACATGCTTTGGATAATATTGAAGGACACCATACCCACTCAACATAATGATAAATGTTGGCTCAAAGAGAGCTGAAGAGTGAAGAATAGTTTCCCATCACATCTAGCTTACCTCTGCCATGAAGAATCTCTCTGTATAATTTACAGATGTTTTCTGACAAAGATTTTCCTACATTGGGTTTCTTTCCAGGGTGAATATTTTAATAATTGCTGAAGGTTGTCTTCTGGTTAAAGACTTCCTCTCATGTTTATATTTACAGAAATTCTGTCATGTGTCCAGGTCTCAGATACCTGTACAGATGTGACTTCTGGCAAAATGTTTTCTATACTCATAATTTCTCTCCTGTGTATGATCTCACATATGCTGAGGACTCATTTCTGATTGAAAGTCATTTCAAATATGTTCTATTCAGTACTTTCTTTTCTCGTATGTGAGTCAGTTCTCTGATGAACACTGAGGTATTCCTGTCAGGTCAAAGGCTTTCCACATTGTAATATTTTTAAGATTTGTCCGCTGTGTGTTCTATGAACTTGGATCCATAAATACTTGGTAAAGGACTTTCCACATTTGATATATTTGTATTTTCTCATCTGTGTCTGTTCTCTGATGTAAACTGTGTTATGACTTTTTCTAGAAAACCTTTCCATTTTTCCTACATATGATTTTTCTCCTCTTTGTTATCATAAGGTCTCTATCCCGTATTGGTTCTGTATTGCAATTTCAATTTTCTTACAGATCAAAGACTTTCCCATTTGGTACAATCTTAAGTTATTTCATTTGTGTGAATCAACTTATGTGTGTTAAGCTGTGACCTCCAGGTCTTTTCACACTGGTTGCATTCATAAGGTTTCTCTCCTTGTGTTCTGTGATGGATGTTAAAGTGTTCCTTCCAGGTGAAAGAATTTCCATGCCTGCTACATACATAACATTTCTCTCTGGTGGGTTTTTTTTCTGATGGACAGAAAGGTGTAAGTTCTGGTCGAAAGACTTTCCACATAGCTTACATTCATAAAATTTCTCTCCTGTGTGTGCTCTCTGGTGGACTGTAAGGTGTAGCTTCTGGCTGAAAATCTTTCCACACAAATGACATTCATAAGTTTTCTTTCCTGTGTGTTTTCTGATGGACAATGAGGCTTGACTTCCAGGGGAAAGCCTTTCCGCACATGTTACATTCATAAGTTTTCTCTCTTGTGTGTGTTGTCTGGTGGCCGGTAAGGTATGACTTCTTGGTGAAAGACTTTCCACATATGTTACATCCATAAGGTTTCTCTCCTGTGTGTGTTCTCTGGTGGCTACTAAGATATGCCTTGCAGGTGAAAGACTTTCCACAAATGTTACATTCAAAAGGATTCTCTTTTGTGTGTGTTCTCTGGTGAACTGTAAGCTTTGATTTCTGGATGAAAGACCTTCCACACACATTACATTCATAAGGTTTCTTTCCTGTGTGTGTTATCTGATGGACAGTGAGGGTTGAATTCCAGGTGAAGGACTTTCCACAAAAGTTACATTCATAAATTTTCTCTCCTGTGTGTGTTCTCTGGTGGCTAGTAAGATATTCCTTGCATGCGAACGACTTTCCGCAAATGTTACAATCAAAAAGTTTCTCTTTTGTGTGTGTTCTCTGGTGGCTAGTAAGCTGTGATTTCTGGGTGAAACACTTTCTACACAGGTTACATTCATAAGGTCTCTCTCCTGTGTGTGTTCTCTGGTGGAGAGTAAGCTTTGATTTCTTGATGAAAGACTTTCCACATACGTTACATTCATAAGGTTTCTCTCTAGTATGTGTTCTCTGGTGGAGAGTAAGGTATGCCGTCTTGGCGAAAGACTTTCCACACACGTTACATTCATAAGGTTTCTCTCCTGTGTGTGTTCTCTGGTGGCTAGTAAGATATGCCTTGCAGGAGAAAGACTTTCCACAAATGTTACATTCAAAAGGTTTCTCTTTTGTGTGTGTTCTCTGGTGAACAGTAAGCTTTGATTTCTGGATGAAAGACTTTCCACACATGTTACACTCAAAAGGTTTCTTTCCTATATGTATTATCTGATGGACAGTGAGAGTTGACTTCCGGGTGAAGGACTTTCCACACAAGTTACATTCATAAATTTTCTCTCCTGTGTGTATTCTCTGGTGTCTAGTAAGATATGCCTTGCATGTGAAAGATTTTCCACAAATGTTACATTCAAAAGGTTTCTCTTTTGTGTGTGTTCTCTGGTGGACAGTAAGCTTTGATTTCTGGGTGAAAGACTTTCGACACATGTTACATTCATAAGGTTTCTCTCCTGTGTGTGTTCTCTGAGGGACAATAGGGTGGTTCTTCTCAGTGAAAGACTTTTCACACTCTTTACATTCTTCAACTACAGAAGACACATGAGGACTATATGCAGCACACATCTTACCAGGTTCACTGAAAACACCCATGTTCTGACAGCCAGTGACCTTTTCTATCCTCATCCCTAAGGAGTTTGCATTATTCTTAATCAATTCTGACTTCTGTATGGAGCTCAAATGAAAATTTCTTATAAGTCTCACTTTTTCCTCCCCTGGGTTACTATTCATGACTGCTACTTCAGAGAGATATTTATGGTGACTTTCCTGACAGGTGCTAATCACATCCTCCATTTCTGGGACATCTAAAATGAATAATAGAAAAATAGACAAAAACATAAATGAGATCCATAAATTCCTTAATGTAAAGATATTTCCTCACTTTCTGTTACTAGATTTTCAAATATCAAAGCATTGCTTTATGCAGAATATATACTTTTCTTTACAATGTAGTAATTACGAAAGTAGTACTGACATTTCACAATGGAAAATAATGTTTTCTGTATTTCAGATTTTTCTTTTTTTTCTCAAGGAAATATTTACTCAAATAATTCATCTCTATACTCTTAATGCTTCCATTCTGAATCTCCCTCTATGCCCAGCACCACTGATAAGAAATTGTCCCAATCAGAGAATAGCAGCCCTAGCATACTCCTATTTTCCTCCTACCTGCATAATACTAGTTTAAAAGAAAATGAGATCTCCTTTCTACATTTCTTATTGTCTTTTCCTCTTTATGAAAGACTTCTCTACAGAAAAAGGGAATTGCTAACATTAACTACACTGGCACACCAAATTCAGTTTGTCTCCAGGAGAATTCTGGATTGAAAATTCCTTGAGACAAAGGATCACCTAGTTCTCTGCCACACATGACTCAGGGGTACTAGGAATACTATTGCTCTGTACAGCTCAAGATAAACAGACCAACTGGGCTCTGGACCCACCATGAGCATTGTAGATGCTTTAACTCACCTGTGAAATTCTTGTCTGAGGCTTCTCTTATCCATGGTTCTGCACCTTGCTCCAGCTTCACAATCAATTCAGGTTTAGGAACACAGTGCCCTGTGACTAAGAAATAGTGGAAAACAATTGCTCTTGCTGGGTCATCATTAATGTAAGGTCGCAGACATCCTCTTCACAAGGTTGCTCCTAAATCTGGTTTCTCAATTGTTTGTGTGGGGGGTGGTCGAGTTGTGGGGCCTGAACTCTGGGCCTGGGAGCTCTCTCTCAGCTCTTAAGCACAAGGCTAGCACTCTATCACTTGAGCCACAATGCCAATTCCAGCTTTTTTCCCCTGCTTATGTGGTGCTTAGAAATCAAACACAGGTTCTCAAGCACACAAGGCAATCGCTCTACCTCTGAGCCATCTTCCAGGCCCATGGTTTCTCTATTCTTAATAGCTCCATGGTGGAGTTTCCCTCAGCTTTGAGTTTATTGTGTCCATTGTGTGGCTTGAACTCAGCTCTTTTGCTCAAAGCTAGCATTCTACTAGTTTGAGTCTTGGCTACATTTCTAGTTTTGGAATGATTAATTGGAGATAAGAGTCTCATGGTCATTTTTCTATAGTTGCTGGCTTAAAACCAAAATCTTCAGATTTCAGCCTCCACAGTATCTAGGATTCCAAGCTTGATGTACTAAACTCTGTGTCAAGTTTGGCTTACAAATACACACTTTCAACTGCTGGTTTCCAGTTCATACTGTCAGTAGTAATGCATATTCTATCTAGACTCTACATCTACCTATAATAATAACCCCACGGCTGGGAAGTCAGTCGCCTGTGAGTGGAGCATATTTTAGAACTTTTGTCCAACTACTGATTAGAATCCTTAAAGAATGAGAAAAAAAATAGCTCTTGAGTTACATATAATGAAGTTGAAGTTTCCCTTACAAAGAAATGACACTTCCCTTGGAGTGGAAACTTTTTCTTTTTTTTTTGAAATGCAATGGTCCAAAGGCTTACACTTGTAACCCTTTATTGAGGAGGTGAGATCAGAAGAGGCAGGCTTGAAACCAACCTGGGCATGGAAACCCAGAATATACCCCAAAACAAAAGCCAAAATGGAGTTGTGGCTCATGCAGTAGTGGGAAAGGCAAACAACACCAAGCTCCCAGACCTGAATTTGGCTGGCTTTTATACTGGCAGTTTTTTTACCTGGGAATGGACTGGAATCTTATACCTAAATAACATAAACAGTCAAATGTCTACCAAAATAAAAGCACTTGATCTTCCAAGAAAAAGTGACCTTTGCTCACCCAAGGACATTAGGTTGCTATAGGTCTCCAGCATTACATCTCTGTGAAGGGTCC